CCTTGGTAATGATATTAGCTCTGATTATTACATCAGTACCACTGCCAAACCTCCTATATCTAGTTCGAATAATGATTATTATTACAATGTGAATCGAGTAAGTTTTTCTTTCAAACCGCACAATTTTAACGATTATTCTTAATTTTAACATACTTATCGTAATTCTCTTCAGCGTCCGAATGCAGCACCAATTTCTCGCTATGATCGTTTTAAACCAAATTTGCAATTATCAACCGCTGCTTCCCGAAGTAGTTCCACGGCATTTCCTGAATTTGATGGAACGTATAATGTTGTTAACGGATTTCAATATTATCTGAAACGACAGTATCACGAAGAGGAACAAGGTCCAACTGGAGCTAATGTCGGTTCATTTGGTTATATTGATCCATTTGGTATTAGACGAGTTATTTATTACAAAACAGATCCACAAACTGGTAGTTTTGTTCATCAAAAAAATAATAAGTATGTAGGTTTCGCGGCAACACCTTACGACGTTGCTCCATCATTACCTAATTTATATAAACGCAACTAAAGCTCTTTGAAGTAATACATAGCGGTACAGCTAGTACTTACACATTTTCCACATTTGATGTCAGAATGATCTTATTGATAAGTGAAATCCTATACTGAGATTTCATTCTATATGCTATAACTAACGTAAAAATGAAAGGAATTATGTACACTTTTAATAGAATTTTTATACATTTGAAATAATAAGAGAACTTACAAGGGAACACCCTGAAGTGATAATCACCGATTTTGATGAAATTTTGGTATACAGCGTGGCTCAGCTAAATGGGATCACTTAAATATCTGCCTTATTTGTTGTTGTATGAAAAAACTTCTGAGAACAAATTTACACTATTTCGAGAAACGGTTTCTTCTCAAGGTCATTTTTTTACGAAATTTCAAGGAAATCGCTATTTTCTTAAAATGGAAAACCCTATATTTCTTTTCAATATCCTTGTAGAGAGTGGGAAAACAAATTCAACGACCTTAATAACTATACCATTCTCATCATTCAATTTCGAGATATGTATTTGCGTCTGAAGGTAATTAAAATTTCCTAAGGATTCACGCGGTACACTGATTCACACATTCGTATCCAAACATAAGTCTTACCTGCTATTGGAAGCAGTAACAGAAGATACTTTTACAACTCATTGTGAAATAATGGCCATTTATTGTTACGCACAATTGGAATCGTTTGATCAATTCTTCATACGCTTTTTCTATTTCTTGCGATATTATGGATGCACATGTAACTGCAATTCTCTCCTTCATATTATCTTGTTGGTTTCTCACGGTAAACCATACCTTTTAGTTTACCCGGCAGATAAAAATCTAATGGGGTAAGGTCAGGAGAACGAGCTAGCCACTCCAACAGTTCCTCGTCGTCCGATCCAACGTCCTCCAAACATGCTGTCTAACACTGTCCTTACACATGTCGAATTATGTGGTGGACATGTAATGGTTACGTGACTCGATCTTCTTGAGTAAATCTTTAAGAAACTTTAATTATCTTTGGACACAAATATTTCGGAATTGAATGAAGGGGATGGTATGGTTATTGAGGTCGTTGAATTAGTTTTTCCACTCTTTACAAGAATATTGAAAAAAATATAAGGTTCTCGTAGAAAAATGACCTTGAGAAAAAACCGTTCTCTGAAATAGTGTAACTTTGTCCTGAGAAGCTTTTTCATACAACAACAAATAACGCAGATATTTAAGTGATCCCATTTAGCTGAGCCACCCTGTATAGTAATTCTTAGAAAAATATGTACTCAACGGCAATGGTTCATAGTGAAGGTGTGAAAATCGACCTCGAAGTTGGAGGGAGTAAATATATTTCGTCTACTACCTCAAAAATTATTAGAGATGGACGATTGTCGATAAAAAGAAATACTTGACAAATATTTTTTTGAGTATTACCGTGTACCAAAGTTTCCTCAATATCGGTGATTATCATTTCGGAATATTCCCTTGTTAGCTCGAAAACACCGCATTTATTGTACAATGTGCATCTTTTTATATATTACGTTGGCAATATAACATTAATACGGGAAAGTGTTTAAACCCCAAAGCTTATTAGACTTGCACTATAAAATACAAATCGTAAACTTTAAACGGTGGGTGCCATGTTAGATTATTTTATTATTTATAATAGTTAATTAAGGACATTGAAGATTTGTAAAGATTGAAAGAAGCCTATTGCGTTAGATGGTAAAACGAAATCCATTATTATTCTGTAAAGCAAATAACCAAATGGTGATAAACAATGAATAAATTTAGAAAAAATTAAGCGTGACCTATTGGTTTATATATTTGTAGAGAACTTCTGTACTTGAAGAATTTACAGTACAACTGCACTTAAAAGGATTTAAAACAATTTTATCTTGGTGTAATGATTAAAATAAGCTTTCTGTTGTGTAGCATTTAATAAAAAGTATCATGAGGCTCTGTTAATTTAAAACTGAACAGACTTGTCGATTAATCGAGAATTGTTTTCATTTCTTGAAACCTGTAAAAAATAAAATTCTGATAACCTTCGCTCCATTTCAAAAGAGAGAATCTAATTACAAATACTTTTTACACTAACAACATGTAACGTTCGCAAAATTCCTTAACTGCAATGAAAAATAATGAATTTACTCGAAAAATTTTCAATACTTCTGTTTACAGTCCTCCTTGTATTTTGGAGATAAAGTCGACTAGAGCTTGTAATTACTTCAACACTACTGTCGTCGAGTTATGGAAATAACAAAATTTATTTGTGTATACAGTGTGACCGGTTTAAATGTATACACGCGATTATTTTCCTAAGTATTAAATATGCAAAAAAGTGTTTCAGACAAATGTTATATGGTGTCAAAGCGGGCACATCATGATAATAATTATTTGCCTTTGCGGTGACCTTAGAGAGTCCTGTGAAGGTTACGTTTTAATTTTTAAATAGAATCTTATATTTTTTATTACATACTCTTGTAGCTGATATCGAACTGTTTTCGAAACACTACCTGTATATGTATTTAGTGTAAGCCATTGCTGAGTTAATAAGCTCCAAGTTTGGCGTGTCCCCCGCATTAGTGTTACCCGATGTACACTGTGGGAAGGTAGCTCATTGTGAGTCAGACTTTGTGCTGTTAGACGAAAAACAATTGAATTGAACCACGTCGATAATGTGGCTCATTTTTGTGCTCTTCCTAGAAAGATTACAAAAATGTATTTTTAATAATGGAGGACATGTGAAAAGATAACTATTGTGGCGGCCCATGCAGCGCGCACGGCGCCACATTATAAACACCATCGAGTTTGCGAGACGCACGCAACGAACGTGTCTTTCGTCGCTGTCGATGTCGCAGCGGGCCGATAAGGATGTTGGTTTATATATTTGTAGAGAACTTCTGTACTTGAAGAATTTACAGTACAACTGCACTTAAAAGGACTTAAAACAATTTTATCTTGCTGTAATGATTAAAATAAGCTTTCTGTTGTGTAGCATTTAATAAAAAGTATCATGAGGCTCTGTTAATTTAAAACTGAACAGACTTGTCGATTAATCGAGAATTGTTTTCATTTCTTGAAACCTGTAAAAAATAAAATTCTGATAACCTTCGCTCCATTTCAAAAGAGAGAATCTAATTACAAATACTTTTTACACTAACAACATGTAACGTTCGCAAAATTCCTTAACTGCAATGAAAAATAATGAATTTACTCGAAAAATTTTCAATACTTCTGTTTACAGTCCTCCTTGTATTTTGGAGATAAAGTCGACTAGAGCTTGTAATTACTTCAACACTACTGTCGTCGAGTTATGGAAATAACAAAATTTATTTGTGTATACAGTGTGACCGGTTTAAATGTATACACGCGATTATTTTCCTAAGTATTAAATATGCAAAAAAGTGTTTCAGACAAATGTTATATGGTGTCAAAGCGGGCACATCATGATAATAATTATTTGCCTTTGCGGTGACCTTAGAGAGTCCTGTGAAGGTTACGTTTTAATTTTTAAATAGAATCTTATATTTTTTATTACATACTCTTGTAGCTGATATCGAACTGTTTTCGAAACACTACCTGTATATGTATTTAGTGTAAGCCATTGCTGAGTTAATAAGCTCCAAGTTTGGCGTGTCCCCCGCATTAGTGTTACCCGATGTACACTGTGGGAAGGTAGCTCATTGTGAGTCAGACTTTGTGCTGTTAGACGAAAAACAATTGAATTGAACCACGTCGATAATGTGGCTCATTTTTGTGCTCTTCCTAGAAAGATTACAAAAATGTATTTTTAATAATGGAGGACATGTGAAAAGATAACTATTGTGGCGGCCCATGCAGCGCGCACGGCGCCACATTATAAACACCATCGAGTTTGCGAGACGCACGCAACGAACGTGTCTTTCGTCGCTGTCGATGTCGCAGCGGGCCGATAAGGATGGCTGTCCTCGGAAAGCGAGGATACACTTGAGATCCGTTCCGAGGGCAGCCAGGGTCCCGACCGACGACGCGAAATCATTCAACCGCCGAAAGTCACACGAGCAACATCAGACATCTCGTCTGGGTTTTCTAAATAAAAGATTTCAAGCGCGAGCACGCGTACGTTTATTCTGCCGTCACCCACACTATGTACCTTAACATAGAAGTAAAAAACACACACACTTACAAAATCGGTCCTTTTTAAAGCCAACATGATGTATAGAGTCCGACCGAGCAACCTCCGTGCAGTGTACATCGGATAACGCTAATGCCGGCGGCACGCCAAATTTGAAGCTTAATAACTCAACAACAGCTTATCCAAAATACATGTTCACGTAGTGTTTTGAAAACGGTTCGATGTCAGCTACAAGAATATGTAATAAAAAATATAGAGTTCCACTTAAAAATTAAAGGTTGACCTTCACAGGGCTCTCCAAAGTCACCCCAAAGTCAAATAGTCATCATTACGATGTGCACCCCTTAACAACATACAACATTAGTCTAAAACATTTTTTTGTATTTTTAATATTTAAGGAAATAATCACGTGTATACATTTAAACCGGACATACTGTAGAGTAATTGAAAAAAGAGTCGACGAATATAAATATTTATTTTTCATGAAAATAAATAAAGGAAGTTCAGTCAAGATTTCAAATTTAATTGTAACTGCGATATAAATAATTCGTATAGAAAAATTTCTTTGAACGATGTATTGTTTAATTTCCATTGCAAAATGTGGAATGTATGTAGTTGTAAAATAGTAAAGTGAATAAAAAATGTTTCAAGTTATACATATGTACCTAATTCCTACATGCAAAGGTCATAAATTTATTTTAAATTGGAAAAATAAACACATAGAATTGCTTTATAGGAAATTGAAATAAAAGTGTCACAAGAAATAGAGATTTTTCCCCTAAAACTGTTGGTTACATTTCTTTAATATTAATTAAGTCATCTTTTTATTGATGTTTCTATCTTTCTGTCTATATCACTCTGTGTACGTTGCTATTAATAAGGTGCGGCTGAAATGGTGTACAAATGAGGAAGAGATGATTCCTTATGCAAAAATGAATGAAAAATGCAGAATGAAATGTTTTTATCTGAAGCTTATTGTTAGTTTTAAAGAAAATACATGTATGTGCATACAACTGCTGTTATAACATTTTACCATTGGTTATCTTTACTTGTATTAGTGTTTATCGAGATTTATAAAAGCACTAACAACTAATTTCAAGAACTAAAAACACTGTAACAATAGTTATGACATTATGGACAAAAATGTGCAGCAACTTGTTTTAATATTTAAGTCACATTACTACTAAAGCACGTGAACAGTAATACGGATTAAAATAGTCAATATCAAAATGATGTAATATTAGTTATACGTCCATAGAATAAATTTGTAAAATCGAATTTCTCAAAAACACTAAGCCTTGGATGAAACATTGTTATTCTGTACCCTTAATTTATCTTTGCACACGGAATTTCCTATGTACCGCTTTCCCACTTGTACTGCCATTCTATTTTTATTTCTTTAAACTTTGTATTCCGTAATTTGTCTACGATAGATAAGAACGGTATAAATTAATCTGAGCCTATCTTCTTCTCTTTCTCTTAAGGGGGTATTCTACTGTAGATCTTTGAAAAATCAATTTTCTTTTGCATTTTCTTAAAGAATATAGTTTTAAAAAGATATGTGTAAAACCCTACATTTGAACATCTAAAAGTTAACGAAGTTATAAGTGTTTGAAGGACGCGACAATTAGTGGTATGAAACGATGTGGAGTACCTTAAATGAATTTTTTATAAACCCATGTTTTTTTAAGTGACCGCCATGATATCTTAAGATCTTAAGATACCGATTGGCTCCAAATTTTATGTGCACCTTCAGTGCAAGTGTTGTTATAGCCTATACCAGAATTAATTAAAATTCTTTTTTTTCTTCTTTCTTTTGTTTACGAAAGGTACAGAAAACAAGAAAACCGCTGATTACACTTTAAAATTTCGCTATTTTTTAAATTATCGATTTTTTTTCTTTCGTTCTAGTATTTGCTATAACCAAACTCATCTTAATTAAGAATCTTTTTGTTTTTTTTTTATTTCCGATGAACAGAATGGCCGGAATCATGGCAGCCATGAAAGACTTGTTTTTGAGCAAGTGCGTTCGAGGGTTTACGCTACTGCCAATTTTCATTATTTCTCTTTTAAAAAATGTATGAATATTACTGAAGTATGGATAAATATATGTGAAAAGTGCTGATAGAAAAAGTTGTATAGTTTCCTTGCAAACGAATGCCAAAGGAGGCCTAAGAAACAGCGACCTACAATAGAATTCCCTTTTAAGAGAAAGATATTTGGTTGATTTTCGATTCTGCAGGATATTTAACAAGTTTTACCACCTTATTGGATCTATCTTAACGAATATAATATTTAGGTGAGCTTAAAGTTATGCTTTAACGTTGACAGCTGACACCTCGTAAAATCCAATTCTATTTATAAGAAATGTATTTCCCCAGGCTATAATAGCACAATCTATGATTTTGAAGATGATGGTTTTCATTTGAAAGAAACGTAGTATAAATAGGTATTAGTTTGTATATAATGTAGATATCTCTAGTATTAACAACATTGGTTCTAACTGGTCTGACGCTAAGTTTGTTTGTTTCACGTTTACTTTATTTTACAATCATGTACTCCTATAAACTTCACGATTATTATTACTACGATTATTAATATTAAAGAAGGGAAGAGAATTTATTGTATTATTTACCAGAAATATATGCGTATATATTTCTAGTAATTTCATACTACATACAAAATACGAGTTAACAAAATTTTCATTCAACATTTGACTCATTTTCGAAATTTTCTGTCGTAATTATTTTGTCGATCGATTTGCTGACTTAATGGCTGTTGTGTCTTTTGAGCTGCTTCACGTGCATCTGCTTCCTGAAATACAATTATAATTTCATTATCAGTTGTAGTTTGCAATGAAGGTATAACATATAATATCTGCGTGGCCTTTCCTAACGATACATTGGCAAAATGTTTGACAATTGATGGAATTTTGGAAAAGAATTTTAAGCAGTTCAAACAGGACAGAATAAGACAAAAATCGAAAATAATGAAATTACAAATTCAGATTTACATTTTAGTTAAGTAAATGTAAACATTTACAAAAATCACTTTCGACGTGCCCTTAAATCATTACAGAATAGATTAAGAGATTTTCCCTATTAAAATTTTATTTATATGCTTGAGGTAGTCCTAATTTTTTTCATTAAAAAATCCTACAGTGCGGATTTTCATGTGCTTTTGTGAATTTTCTAACAAATACAAATTGTAAACTTTAAACGGTGAGTGTCATGTTAGATTATTTTATTATTTATAATAGTTAATTAAGGACATTGAAGATTTGTAAAGATTGAAAGAAGCCTATTGCGTTAGATGGTAAAACGAAATCCATTATTATTCTGTAAAGCAAATAACCAAATGGTGATAAACAATGAATAAATTTAGAAAAAATTAAGCGTGACCTACTGGTTTATATATTTGTAGAAAACTTCTGTACTTGAAGAATTTACAGTACAACTGCACTTAAAAGGATTTAAAACAATTTTATCTTGGTGTAATGATTAAAATAAGCTTTCTGTTGTGTAGCATTTAATAAAAAGTATCATGAGTTAATGTTAATTTAAAACTGAACAGACTTGTCGAATAATCGAGAATTGTTTTCATTTCTTGAAACCTGTGAAAAATAAAATTCTGATAACCTTCGCTCCATTTCAAGAGAGAGAATCTAATTGCAAATACTTTTCACACTAACAACATGTAACGTTTGAAAAATTCCTTAATTACAATGAAAAATAATGAATTTATTCGAAAAATTTTCAATACCTCTGTTTACAGTCCTCCTTGTATTTTGGAGATAAAGTCGCCTTGAACTTGTAAAGATAATCCAAGGAGAATTGCTTCTCCTAAATACATCCTTACAAAACAATAGAAAAAGAGGGAGAGGGAGAGGGAGAGAGAGAGAGAGAGAGAGAGAGAGAGAGAGAGAGAGAGAGAGAGCCAAGTGGAGAAAGGAAGAATTAGAAAGTGAGAAAAAGAAAAATCGTGGGACGTACCTCTTGCTGACGAATGCCCGCAAAGATGAGGTCGAGGCCTTTCTGAATCTCTTCACTGACTGGCGGTGGCGTGGGAATGTGATCTCCGGTCGCGTGAAAGCCAGTCTCATCGGCCGTGTAATGGATGGTGATCAGCTTCCCCTCAGGACTCGTATATGAGAAGCTTCCTTGTTGGACTAACGCTTCTCCTTGTTCCTCGCCTTCGCCTACTTTCTTGATGTAACCACTCTCCTCCGCGATAATATTGTTTCCCGTTTCGTAACTGTGAATAATTTATTCATATCAGATTTGGAATCACATTTTTAGTGCTTCGATGTACAATACACGCATGTCGTTACTGCATTATTATAACGTGAAACTTTCCTTGACGATTACATTTCGAAATTTGTATTCACTGAAACTTATATTCACATGTATTAAATGTGTCAAGGTGTAACCTTAATTTTCCCTTCAATTTTAACACAGCTGTTTCAACGTCTTTATCGAAAATATAATGTTGCGCAAGTTAAAAGGATTTATACAAGTTTTTGCTCTTAAGCCTGTCATTCTATAGGGTATAATATTTGTTTGGATATTTCAAATTGAATTTATTCGTGAGATTACACGAAATAAATGAGATGATCAATACTTTGCGATCGTTTATTCTAAAAGCACTTGTATAACATCTAAATTAAATTATTGCAAATAAATTCTGCACGATATTATAAATATGTTACATTGAGCAACAAAATATAATACATATGTATTTCAAAATGAACATCAACATCGAATAAATCTTGAAAGTAATATGTATAAATCTTAATTCGCCATTTCTACTATGCTACGCCTATAGTTTATATTGCAAAAATACAACATTTATAATAAAAAATATTTTTGTAGTGAAACGAAAGTAAAAGTTAACGTTACCGATTAAACAATTTTCACTTATATACACATAAGTATTATATTATATGTATGAATAAATGAATGTAAGAATTTAACTAATTCCTATAATAGAAAGGACTATACAATTAAAGTTAATTATACTAACTATAAATCAGTTATGAATTATTGATTTATTTTCAGTTGTGTTTCACGTCATCGTATCTTGATTTTAAAGAATAGACATCATTCCGTAAATATTTGATGTCATATCGGATGTTCTAAATATTATTGTTATACATATCGGACGACAAAATATTTAATTATTACCTGACTATCTGAATAGGAATTCTTTAACTTTGAATTTCTTGGCTTGCCTTACACTAATTACAAATATAAAAAATGCAACTGCAACATTTCTCTAAGGACAACAATTATTTCAATAATATAACTTATTATTGATTCTGAATTTTACTAAATATAATTTCGCGTATTACAGTGAAATATACATATGCTTATGTGTTATAAATATAAAAAAGTTTGGCTACTAATTAAGTAATTATTGTCCTTATTTGAAAAAATAAACGGCCAAATACAAGTCTGAGTTCACATAATTTTATTTGTTAGCAAAAATCATACCAAGATTAATATTCTTTTTCCTTGAAATGTCTATTTGCTTTCTTAAACGAATGTATAATTCTGAGGCTCGAGCTTTTGAAGAAATACTAATAAGTTGTTGGTAATGAAAAAGCAGTGAATAATAGGTACCTTGTTTTATATGTTCCATCATGTTCTTGCTGTTTATTCCAATGTAAAATTGGAATAGGTGTTGTCGTTAACGGTCTTCTTTCATCGGTTGGAGGACTTGGTCTATCTTCGTGGTAATTGTTACGAGCGTGATAATTTGGATCTTGCGCTGCTGCTAATCCCAAAATCATAGCTATCACCTGATACAATAAAAACTTTGTTTGAGAAAATCATTTGGCCAACTTAACATTTTTAAGTAATGATCTCATTGTGAAAAGATCAAATTTGCTACAAGAATGAAGATCTGTTATCGGCATCACCGACATAGTATTGGTGAGGTGAGTGAAAGCAAGATGCCAATGCGGGTCATTTAACTCCTGACCTACGACGAGTTTGCGAACTCGTCGTCGATTTAGTTTGCCTCATCTTCCTCCGAGTTATTCAGAGTCGCAACAACAGATTAATTTCAATAGATTAATCTTATTTTTGTAAAATTTTTGTACGTATTAACTAATTTGAATACATAACATTTATGACAACATCCATGTAAAACGATATATGTAATTATCAAAATGCGCGACAAAATATGGACTTAAAGCATTTTTTTTATTTCAAATATTTCATGTTAATAACTGACGAATTACGTTACATTTGTATGATTATCAAGATAAAAACATCTGACAGCATCTTTCCTTATTATACTCAGCAATTCAGTATACTAACTAACTACTAACTAGCATAATGACTATTTCATACGTATTATAATATGTATTTATATTATTACTAAATATTGCGTTTTAATCTTTAATATTTTACCAGTAACGGGAGAAGAGTATCTTATTCCATAATTTACACAAAAACACTATACAGCATTACAAATTTGAACATGTATGGCAATAAGAAAAAAAATTTACGAACTTTAGTAAGGATTTTACATTCATTAATTATCTAATAATAGTAGCAATTAAGCAGCGGTAACTTAAGATAGCTTGTAACAGAAAAATTGTGAATATTTTATATTATCAAACCCATATCTCGCGAAAATTTTCAATCGTATCGCATAGATTGTTTAAAAGATCGTAGTATATTGAGTAAAAGAAAAATATAATTCTTATTATATTAGCATTAAGTTAGAGTTAATGTTGCTCCTTTTCTTAATTCACAAGTTACATTTTATATTTTTCATTTCGTATAAATACCCGGTATACCTTTAACTTTCAACAATACCAATCTTACAACAAAAATAATCTTATGTAACAAAAATAACCACATAAATGAATAAAAATATAACAATTACTTACAATGGTTTTCATCTTGATAAAGGAAGCACTTCTGTACGAAGGTGAAAAAGAGTGCAATTGAATCCAATCGTTTATGATCCTAAGGAAGTAAAGAATTCTCCTTTTATACTCTCACCTCATCCCCACTCGACAAGTGATGAATTTGCAAAGATGCTCCACGCAGTTTGTGACGACAATCTGTACACGCATGCTACTTTATGCACATAAGTATGCATTCTACACTACTTTACGCACCCTTTTAAACACTCCTTTCTTGTTCCTTTTTGCAAGTAAGATCAATGCTATTGCAATACTAATTAATTAAAAAAGTTTACCAATATATCAATATTATGTGATAAACGGAAATATTTTTAATCGTTATACAAAGTGAATAGAATAATTTAACTGATTACCCTAATTACTTTTGTTACTGCTAAAGCCAATCAATTTTTTGGGTCTGAAACAATTTAATTTAGGAAAGTTTTATCAATTAATCATATTCCTTGCAGGTTATGTTTTTTTTTTCAAGTTTCCAAAACTATCTTCAGTATTTTGAAATGGAGGTTGGTAATTTCAATTAAGAGTATTTTTAAACAGAGATACGATAAGTTTCCGTTTATTATCATCGGAAAAGTACAAGGCCAAATCTTCTAAACTCCATGAAATGTTTTTTTTTAATTAATGGAACTAAAGATATCATAGTTAAAATAATAGATGGAAAAATTCTTATTTTAAATACATAAAAGGTAAAGCAAATATGAGAACGCTATACTGTTTAACATTATCTAATGTTATAAATAGTCTTAAACCAGGGACGCATGCGTCATTTTGAATGTTTCTATAAAAATTCAAATAAAGTTAAGATATGATTAGCTTCATGTGGTCCTGCTTGAGGCTTTTAGCCTTTATTTCCTCACGTCTCTAACAGCTCGTTCATCAACTCCCTCAAAATGTATATTTTACAACTTTGCTACGTTTGTATGTTACAACGATGCTAACTGCACACTATAATTCGCACAAGTGGAACGCTGAATGATTCCCGCGAAAATGTAATGCATACGTCACGTAGGTAGAGATATACACTATATCTCATAAGTATTTATCCATTCATTATTTACAATGATCTTTCCTTAATAAGCACTTTTATTTTGGAAGTTTCCAGGAAAGAAGTTACAGATTTAACATGTTTGATAACCCTTGTTATAAAAACAGATCAGTTACTTTAAAATACGGTGGTTGAGTATTGAACAATTATTAGAATGTTTCTCTGCCATTCGTAAAGAATTAAAAGCTAATACTTTTGAAATTAGAACAGAACTATAAAAACACAAATTTCTTTGCGCAGTGGCATTTTCAATGTAATTAAGTGTTTGTTTCATTTTCTTGTACTATGTAGGTTTATTGAAAAATCCTATGGATTTTTGTGCCGTTTATTTAACTTACGTTATAGTATGTCTGGTTTTTCTATTGAAATCATTTTCAACTGCTCTTTTCACGACATTTTCATTTTTTAAGTACTTTCCATCTAGAAAATGATGTAACGATCGAAATGAATGATAATCAGAAGGGACCAAGTCAGGTGAATATGGTGGATGATTTAGAATTTTCTACTCTAATTCGTGCTGAAGAATAATACCCTTCCTATTTTCTAAAATTGGCCGGTTTTTTTTTTCATTGCTTTAAGTAGAATTACAAGTTGATTGCAGTATTTTTCGGGATTTATTGTTTCCCCTGATTCTAACAGTTCATAATAAACTGATCCTATTTTGTCCCCCCAAACATACGTCATTATTTTTTTTTCTGGTGAAAATTTGGAGCAGGTTGCCCTGGCATACAATATACTCTTTTCTCTTCTTTTCTCTGAAACGTCATTGTACAAAATCCATTTTTCATCGTTAGTAATTAATCGGTCTAAAAATGGTTCGTTAACCATTCAACTTTTTAACAATATCAAATGACGTTGATAAGGATTGTCTAACAGTAATGTCTTTAGAACGTCGTCGTTAATTTTCGGTGACCTTTTCGAACGAGGTTCATTTTTAAGACTTAAATTCCCAGATTTAAACTTTATAAACCACTTTTGCATTCTTTTAACATCTACAGTAGCGTTACTTCTTCTCTAATATTCGTAAAGAATGCAGTGTCGCAAATGTATCTTATCCACTGACATGTTGACTGTTAAACTTTTAACGATGACTGGCACCTATGCTTCAAGTTAGGATAATAAAAGTCAGACTAGTTGGGAATTCAAAAGAAAGACTTTAAACAATGTTAAAAGCCAGGATAAACATGGTTCGATAAAACGACAGAACTTTTCGACAGGTCTAATATAATGTAAATTTACTCTTAATTTAAATGCAAATTATGTTTATAGTACTGAAAATATAAGAATTCATAGACACGGCTTTCAGGGGGAAATTTACACCTTTGGATCGATGGAAGCTGGTTAAAACAAAAAATTGCTGCAAAACGGTTTATAACAATAAAAATTCATATTATTTGTTTTTTAATTTCTCTACATTCTATTTGACGAGGTGTGAGAATTGTTAAACTTTTCCCATGAATAAGATTGTATGAGTCAAACATAGAAGAGAAGCGCTCACCTTACTACATATGGTCTCATTGCTTTACGCACGAGTATTAGTACTTCCACGTTAAACGCGTGCGTGTACTTCACCGCGAACGTAATAAGACATGTAGAAAGAAACGCTATCATATCAACGGTTTCTTTCCTCTAACATAAGTTTAATCAGTTTTTTCGCTGCAACAACCACGTTTTCATTAATAATGTACGACAATTCGGTAAATATTCACAAAAAGGAAGCCACCTCCGATTTCGATAATTTTTTCATGCGTTGTAAAGGTCATCACTCTGAGTATTGTTGTGAAGGTTTTTAGTCGGCGGTCGCTATTTATTAAGAAGTTATGAAAAAAGAAAGTTTAAACAAAAGTACATATTTTTCAATAGAGTGTGAATAATCGAGACCTTTCTTTTAGGTAACCTAAGTATCCGGACCTATCCCAAACTCGAGATATGTATTCGCAAAAAGCTGTCGTTACTAAACATGGAGTCCTGTCCATATGTGCGTATCTGCAGTACAGTCGCAAGCATAGCCGACACGTTTGCCACTTTGTTCGTTACGATTAAAATTACTACCCCAACCCAATAGTATAAACAAAAGACAAGAATTAGGTTTGGGTTATTTTGGGTTGAATTAAAATTACATTTGGATTATGTTTGGGTTAGATTCTTCCTCTTTCTTTGTTTATAATTTTTTAATAAACGGCGACCGTCGACTAAAACCTTAATAACACTACTCCTTGACAACATTAAAATTGATGATGACCTTAACAACATTTAAAAATCATCCAAATCGGAGGTGTTTCCCTTTTTGTGAATATTTACCTTAAATTCTTCCTGAATAGTATTTAATTTATAGTATTAGGTTGTACCATATGAAATTGTCATTTTTGCAGGTGGAAATAAAAAACCATATATTTTCAAAACAAAACTCTTTATTTAATCAAAATATTCACTGTTAGTATTAATGGTTGCGACGGTATGTACCTCCTACGCTGCACCATTAGATGGACGAACTAACATTAACCGTTCTCACTAGTCCTCGCTAAGACTCCTGTTGGTATACATATGTATATACTTACATGTATATAACTTCTAATCTGACAAAGGAAATTTATTAGAGATCGAAGAGGATAATTCATTCTCAGCTTTGTACTGTTAGAACCAAAGACTTCTACCGACACTTAAAATACTGGTATTTTTCAGTTATATCTTCAAAACCTTTGTAGAAACCGAAATACGAATATAACGGTATATGAAAATATCGATTTATTTACCTTCATTTACCGGTAATTTTTGCAGTATTTTATTACAATTTATTACTACTTTAGACAAGGATTTAAAATTTAATTAATCGATTTAAAACCGATATAGCGAAACCAATATACATGATACTGATACTGCTATAATATAGAACTAATTATAAGATAACATGTATAATGTGTTCGCAAGTTAAAAAAAAATTTCTCGAAATCGGTGATGAGAACGTAAATAGATACTCGTCAGTCTGATGATCAAGTTTTGAGCTAATACATACTAGTAGCAGTAAAAGAAAGATTTTTCAAAGTTATTAATTTATTAATCATTGTTACTTGTTTATTACTACACTATTAGTTTACTGTTTGTTGCGACCTCCTGGACATGCAACTAAGCCTCGGTTTGGCGGATTATCGCAATAAAATGTGTTAGTCACATTTGGCCGCCAGATCGAGGTGCCGACGCTCAGCGGCCCACCATAGATATTCCGTAGACGAACTAGCGCCGCGACCAAACAATTGTCTTTTCCTTAAAGAACCGAAAATACTCATCGAACAAAGGCAGAAGAAAATTCTGGCTATAAAGAATACCGTCACTGGGGATCGAATTTGTTAATAACAAATACGTGTGTAGAATCGGGGCCTCCATACCCAAATAAGGAACAGGAACGAGGAAAAATAGGGAGGGCGTTATAGGCGTAGTGCGCAATGCCTCGGCTTACCAGCCAGAGGTCGCGGGTTCGACCCCCCTCCCCGGTTTTTTGGGTCACTCCATTTTTTCCTCGGTTCCTATATATGCATAAGTAAAAATATCTTAGGAATATTGAAAAAATATCTTAAAAGTTTTAAACGAAAAAAGTTAAAAGTTTGAGAACGATATGTTCCACGTACTGCGTTGTATCGTTTCTTTGAAGGAACAAGAACGTCATGCTTACGTTCTTGACGTCTGGAAATGAATCAACGGTGAGTACAAGCATTACAGGTAATATTACAATAGTATTGTGACATCGTGACGATGCATGTATGCATATATGCCAAAAATTACCAATCACTTTAGAACTGTTCCTGATCAGGCACACTCTGTCATTTCCCCGCTACAGCTGGTAGTTAATCAGGAATTATTTAGAAAATTTTCACTACAAGGAATTCTACAATCCTTCTCAATGTAATGAACTTCTCAAACAAGTCTCTCCGAAAATGATTGCAAGTTTCGCCAAAAAACTCAAATCTAACAAGGC